CAGGCCCGTAGTTGGGGGGGGGGGGGTCGGGGGGTTCGGACAAACCACCTAAATTTTGTAAGTGAATAGAATTATGATCGTAGATTAGAACATAGTGAACAGTATTAATTAAAATATTTTTCATCGTTTAAATCACTTGACTCAGTGAGGTAACTATCAGACTCAGCCGAAATTGTATAGTAATTACGGATTTTAAATGTCAATGGTGAAGTTACGCCGTTTCAGCTCAACAGCAGCAAATAAAAAAAAGTTGTTTTAAATGGGAAAGCTTTTATTCGGTGATTCCGCGATGGTGTAATGAAGATCGCGTTCAAGCAGCTGATGTTAAATATTAAAGCAACATTGAAACAATAATGTTATGGTAGTCACTCTCTGAAGGATGTGGTGGTCCTGAATAGGTCCGTTTGTCTTATGCTAGTGTTCGCTCAATTACTAATGTGTGGGGATCGAACGGGATTGACACGACAACACGACACAGTACTTTTCTAATTTGGTTCATTAGTTTTGTTTTCTTCAAGTTAGTGATGGCATATATACTGTTTTGTTATGTGTATCAGCCAAATGTAGTCAACTTATTGTATTAGTACGTGTAGCCTGTGTTATTGGACAATAGTGTACAGCTACATGTTAAACAGATCATTAAAAAAATGATTTAAGAAAGATTTATCATCACGAGTTGTAAAAATCATAGAGCATCTTGCAGCCAACAATTTACCCCACAGTGTTGCTTCAGCACTGAAACTGTGCGATGAATCATATTTTTAAAACATATTTTTTTACACGTTTTTTTTTGTGATGTCTTAAAAAATTTACTATATTTTTAGTGAGTTCATACAAAACAGATGTAGTCATTGAAGTGAGACCGCTGCTAAACTACCACTATATGCATATTATTTTACCGCCCTCTAAAAACAGATTTACAATGAACCATCAAATTTACATTCTGTAAGAAACTTGGTGGTATGCCATTGGTTAGTGCATTTAATTTGTTTGATGCAATCATTGTGCCAGCTATTTCTTATGGTAGGGATATGGGTGTACGAAAATTCGGAAATCGAGAGGGTACAGACAACATTTTGCAGATATCTACCTAGCGTTAATAGTTGTGCAAACAATGTAGCGATGTTGGACGAATGTGGAAGGCTGCCATTATGCTGTGGTTATTTCAAGCGATGTATCTCATATTGGTTAAAATTACTTGAAGTAAAAAATAGCTGGAACCCCAAAACATGTTATATCATGCTAACACGATTAGACAAGACCAGCAGACTTACTTGGAAAACCCATATAAAAATCTCCTGTTCAAATATGGTTTCGGCATTGTCTGGTTTGAAAAACAAGTTGGAGATACTGCAAATTTCTTAGAGATATTTACTCAAAGAATAAAATTGTTGTCAGCAAGAATGGCATGCCTCAATTTCACAATCATCCAAGCTGTGTACTTTCGAAAAAATCAAAGTAGTATTATAACCTGGGAGATTTATTGGCAAGCAATTATAGACTAAAATATTTATGACGAGTTTTTGCCTGTTTTGGCCATAAACATAATGTTGAATTAAGCAGACACACAAAAATACAGTTTGATCAATAAATTTGTTGTTTTTGCAGTGATACGTTTGAATTTAGCATGGTAGAGAATGAAATTCAATTTGTTTTTATATGTCCATTATATAATGATCTAAGGGCTGATCTTTTGTCAATAACCCTGTGCAATTATGCAAATACTGACAGTCTGGGCTTACTTCGTCGCTACACAAACTGCCACACCATATATCAACCAGCTCTGTATCTTTTAAAAGTTTTCAAGCGACGAGATGAATATGAAGCCAGTTTAACTTAGTGCCATATGTTTACATGGATTTTGTATTGTTTTTAAAACGTGCTATGCACTTTTCTACCCATTACATTTTGTACGATGGGCTGAGGCCCTGTACAGAAATAAAATTACATAATACAAAATTTACTAATATTAAAATGAATAATTGTAGACAGATTTCGACATGAAATCGTGTCACTTTTATGTGCGCTAACATCTGCAAAGAACGAAAAACCTCTTGAGTAGCATTCTACCTTAAAATGCTTAGACAATAATGCTAAGATACGTACAGTCTTGTCTTTTTTGTGTACAACATTTTGCCGTGGTGGATCAAGGGTGTGGGTGTGTTTGTCTGTGGGTGGGGAATGGCTCAGGTCCCCTTCTCAAAATGGTAAAATAGTTCAAAGATGTTATGTGAAATAACTTACCAACGTAACACAAAGTAAACCAATTGAATTTAAAACCGAGAATATAAAAATGTCTGTAACAGAGCTCAATTTTTGAATATTATAAAATTCACACGTTTCACATCAAATATATTATTGTTGTTTCGAACCCCCTATTCAAAAGTTCTGGCTACGGGCCTGCGGAGTTTGGTTTTGAGGTTGGCTGGTTCCCGCCTCAAGTGTCATAACGTACCAAGCCGACCATTCACAAAGGACGCCGGGAACCAGCGAAGTTTTGAGGTAGTCCAAAACGAGTTTTACGACAATATGAGTCGGCAAGTTCCGGACAGAAAACCGATCTGTGGAGACTCGTCGTAGGAGATTTTTTTTTTTTTTTTTTTTTGAGAACAGGCGAAAACTTAATAATGGAATAATGTAAAAAAATATTAATGACCCATAGTAAAAAAACAATTGTCCAATTTTACTAGTACACCAAAATCATGATAGAATAATATTCTAATGTTTGAACAATACGAGATTTTGTCAAAGCAGCTACCTTAAAGGGCGGTGGGCGTCGCGCATCGTGTGTTCAATTTCATGTAAACAAATAAAGTATTTTACACGCGTTGTGTACGTCCCATGTCGAACAGGACGCGGCGCGACGACCACTGCCCTTTAACACAATTATCAATAGTCACAGTTAACAGTTAACTATCCAACCCGACCTTAGACACTTTGCAATGTGCATAATAATAATAATAATAAGTGCCATAAAAATATATTGCACAGACAGAAGCAAACAATACATAATGTTTATTAAAAAAAACACAACAACACGATATGATGTCATCAAACCTGTTACCTCAAATCGTATATGTAAAAGCGAAAGCGAAAGAACTGTTCATTTGCACCATCTTTTCTCGTGAACACGAAAACAAAATGAGTCATTGTGCTGTTTTAAATATCAAACGTATCGAAAGTTCACCAAAAGGTAATGTTATTAGTAATCCAGTGATGCAAATAAACAAACACCCCCTGGCAATAACATCAAGGTATAATTCACGTAACACACGTAATCAAATTCCCTGTTTACCGCATTATGACCAAACTCATTATTTTTTTAAAATGAAAAGTTAATTTAAAATTTAAAATAAAAGTATAATTTTACGTGATGCGAGCTAATTTTAGTCATAGCAACCGTAGCTTCCGTAGGAATTCCCCGAATAACGATACACAACCTAAGTATATTGTTGGATTGATTGCATTTATATAATCAAAACTGAAACCTGACCTTTGACCGCAGTTGTTCAGTAAACGACCTACCATGAACCCGTGCCTGGATGACAGCTTCTATGCACTCGATCTCACCCCTCCACTCCCTCTCGCTTCGTCCATCCCATGAGCCGGTCTCGCAGGATACATAGAAAGGTTGTCAATATAAAATATATGTAGTTTGGCAGTCTATATGATTGTACTATCGAGCATTATCTCAATTTTAAAGGTTCTTTCCTATCATATTCTTCAAGTGGTTTTTTTTTTGTCATTCTGTACGTCATTTCTTATCTAACGATAAGTTATTTATCTTAGATTCATACTAGTAATGATAATGACCGACGCTGGTATACTAATAGTTGAAATAGCTTCACCTATTATTGAAAACGTTTTCGTACAAAATTTAACAATACACTATTTTGGTTTTCCCCGTCTTACTTTCTCATAAATTCGTCGAAATTTTGCGTCATCGACGATTGCATCATCCAGCGTTACATGGTACGTTCAGACTATATATTGCACCGGCATCAGACGTGTTCATTACTAAAAGGTTTATTGGAAATTTCCTGAACCTAAAATGTTAGTGCAAATTTACTAGTAAGAAAATACGCCCTCTCAGACTTGGCGTCGATCCAGAAAACGGAATCAGTATATATTAAGAAATGTTCAGACAGCGCATTACATTGAGTACCTTGCAGTGAGTGATACAACATGGATCCAGAAGCAAGTCTTAAACTGATTGCGGAGATAGAATCCCAGGACGACAAAGTGGAGAAACTGAAATTAGAAAATGCCGACCAAAAGAAGGTTCGTAAATTCGAAATCGATGTTATCCCTTATATCCTATAGTTGTTTGTTTGTATATGCATTGTACTTATGTGTGTGTATGTGTTTTTGTAAACCAAAAGTGTGCGATGCAATTACGCATTGTCTCGAATCCGCTACTTAATTACACATTCTTCGGGGTTGTCTTTATCTGTTTTATTAGTATTTTGTACATAACTGAGCGGTTGGCGTCACGTCTGGACGCAAATAACCTGTCACGATCCTGTTCTATATGTTAGTTTTCAGGGAGTCAACGCCCCGATATTGACTACGCAATGTCAATTTCCGTTTTCTAACCATGTACAGTTACGATTGGTCTAGGGGTACTGACTACAATCACGTTTATTGTAGCACGCATTCAGAATTATAAACCCCTCCCTCTGTTCCCATATAACTGATCCATATACACGCATGTTACACTGTTTGTGACTGTCATTGGCAATGATATGTTGATGTCTGCACATAATCATCATTAAACTTGGAAAAATTTAAATATAACAAACCACGCCAATTTAAAAATTTATAAATTATAACAAAATCCCACCGTAATTCGGACTACATTATCATTTGCATACAGTCGGCGGCTGATGACGTATTGATCGTTTTGGTTTCACTTTCGTTTTGAGTTTCACTTTCTCTTTCGACTAGGAACCCATACGTAATCATATTAATACAGAATATCATACAGAAATTGATAATATATTTTTTAGAAATCAACTATTTTTTCTTCGGAAATATCGGGTGTCTTGAATACGACTTCGGGCGCTATCGGTGGTATCTGTAATATATAGGCATTACTCCAGCATTAAATACCATCTGTCGAAAGCGCGAGTGAGCTGGATCACTAATACGATTAATCACAGTCCCTCCACAACGGACTGTGGATTAATATCGAAAGTTGTTTTAATCACAGTTCCTCTAGATAGAGGGACTGTGTTTTAATCAACCTCATGCAAGACGTTATTACATACTATATCATCGTCCAGCGTCTATGGCGAACCTGTCAGGTGACCTCAGATTTCACCTCACACATTAACAATCTAATGTTTGGTGAATTTCTTAGTAGACAGCGATATGATTTATTTAAGTACAACATGAAATAATTAGAAATTAAATTATTTACATTTTATTGAGGCTGTAGTGATATATTTTTTTTTTATTTCAAAAAGTTAAAACACCATGAAAATTTAGCCCTCGGTTCCATTTTTATATTGTTGAATTTTGAATGTATGGGATACAAACCCAGCGGAGAATAAACACATAGCTTAATAAAAAAGTAAAATTTAAGTTTCGCAGTCGGGAGAATTTCTGTTCCGGTACCACATTACAATATAAAAGCCAAGCTGACAGACATGAAAAGATGTTATGTGAGCGCCACCTATAATTAAACTTAGCATGAACTTTCGTTTAATAATTATTTCTAAAACATGGCGGAACGTGTTAAGATCGGACAAGCTGTCAAGGCCCAGGCAATGCTTGTACGTCAACTAAAAGAAGAAAAGGCTGACAAAGACAAGGTTGGTAGTGAAATAATTCAATATTTCAATTGGAAAACGTCGAGTTTCTGTGTTGTACAGAACACAATGGAATCAAGTAATATTGCAACCTGGTCATAGATTGTCATGTTACTTTTTACGCTACAAACATGAATCATCATAATACATTTACATATTTGAGAGTTTAATCAATGATTTCACCAAATGGATCTTATTGCTGTATAATTATTGGACTAGTCTGTAATATTGCCAATTCTCGATTATTACCGGGATTCTAGGTCACGGTGACTGTTGTGGGCAATGTATCGGTTTGAAAGCGTGACATATTTCCATCCAAAATGTAAATTACGTGTTGTACATTCCGAGCATATTAATTTTAAATCATAAGAATTTAAAGTAATATTTTTAATAATAGCGAAAAAACTGCTGCTTAAAAATGTTTTCATAAAACTATCCGGATAGAAACGTTTTTACTTTGCCATGAGGGCGCTAGTCTCTTCCGGTATCATGCCGGCAAAAAAAGACTCCACGTGGATAAATGAAATAAAATAAAATAAAAAAAAAATGATTAAAATTGTGTCACACCGGAAATGTATACTAATATAATTATTATTATTTATGCGAAATTATTAAAAAAAATATATTTGTTTAGACACAGTCCAGGGACTGTGGTTTAGACTTGTACTTGAAGGTGAAGCATGATGCAAGAGCTCACATGGGCTAATTAACATATTGGGGTCATGACATTATTCAAATCACAACTGATAATGATGCAATCCCGCGGTATATAAAACGGTGATTCCTCAACGCTTGGCATAGTATAATTTTTCATGTTGAATTCGTAGCAGAGACTTCTCAGCCGTTTTGGCAACTGTTTATTTTGTTATATTTATTCAACACAAAACTGCCAAAAAAAAATGCCTAGTGGTACAGCAACGTGTCCCAAGGACCTCATAACATACAGACATATTCTTGACATCGGAGATACTATCCGGAGACTAAAAGTTGAAAGACCATACAAATATAAGCAGCAGGTTGGTAGTACATGTATATATTTTTTTTAGTTTTTTTACCCCGTTTCTTACTGCTATTTAAATAATTTTTTGAGCATGAAGTTTTGAAAGCAGAAGTCAAAAATCTGAATGAAAAATGATATCTGTTTGGCCTAAAATTAACACTGAACTTATTGAAAAACAAAAAAGTATGCAAAATATTTTTAATTGCAATATGATGTTTTGGAGAGGAGAAAAAAAGTAAAAAGATTGCTGCTTGTTTCTGAAAAAAATACACAAAAAAAAAGCTTCAACTGGAAATCATTGAAATTGCGGGATTGCATCAGACTGTTGTTCACTCCACAATATAGGGGTCAACACAATTGTTATTTTGTTAACAGTGGTTTAATTAATTTGTATTTTTCAAATTTGTTATTAATTTTAAAGTTTTTAAAAAACTATTATATAACTATTATATAGAATTATTATATAAGTGGTTTTTTTTTCTAGACTATATTATTTATTGTGGTGTTCATGACTGTTCCATGAACAGGCCAGCTAGTCAGGGTGTGTAGTGAGATTAATTAGCATATGAATAGTGACTTGGATTGCATCATGTACTAGTAGTTCAGTGGGTCCATGGTTTCAATAAACATGAATGGGTCAAATGTTTTCATAGACTCTGGTTGCATCATGTATTTCAAATCAAGTCAACAACCACCACTGAGTATTGTCAAGCCACGAAAAAAATATGCTAACCTAAAAATAGAGAACTTGTTCTTCACTAACAAAATTAATTAAATTTCAGAGGTTGGGGTAAAGGGCTACTGTACATAACTATTTTGAAGGCTTGAAGTCTATATAAACATGGATTTATAAGCTGTTAACATTTTTTGCAAATAATCTGCCAAAATTTAATTTTTTTGAACTGAAACTGATAAATATGCCTGAAAAATTAGAAAACTAAATGACTGTAAAGTCAGTAGTCATGACGACACATAAAAACATAAACTGACACACTTTCCCTCCCTGTTGCTTCCCATTCCGATTGATGTGGACTCGTACAGAGTTGCTGACTTACAGCGGTTTTCTCTGATTTACATTTGCATCATCTCCAACCATTGGCTGAATCTCTATCTACTCGTTTCTATGGTGATAACAATGATGTCGATAAACTGGACCAAATTGAATTACCTATGCAATGCCATGCACTTATATAAACATCAAATTGGTGTGTTGTCACGGATGATGTCTTCAAATGATCAGGTAAGTTTCAATTATTGTCCTATGCAATGCAATGTGATTCTCATACTGTTGACCAATAGTCAAATAGTCACCAACGGTAGTCAGATTGTAAAAGAATACTACTTAGAACGGTTGCCTTTGAAGCCAGTTTGAGCTGAATTCAAATTTTGCACTTCTGAGCATGTTACTGCACATATATGCAATGCATTATGGGAGATTACCTCCCATTATATATAATTGAAAACTAGTATCACATTGGAATTTTTAGAAATGATTTTTGGACTCAAAAAATATCTGGTGATCATAATCTTTTTTTTCATTTTCAGAACAATTACCATTTAAAATACCTACAAAATATTTTCTCATTGAAAATAAATTAACTTTGCTGAAGATTGTGCACCAATATTAGGATTCCTCTCAATAACTGTATTCAAATCTTTGGTGGGGAGAATTTGGTTACTATTTTCAAAAGCCAGTTGAAGCCACTGAAATTGATACATGTGGTGAATATATACTGTATTTGCTTTATTAGTAGCGCATGTGCATATGTTACATTACATGTGTTTCTGTGGGCAAATTAAATTATATTTTATTGATTCAGTCTATAAAGTATGCAATTTTGGTTTATATGTGCTAATATTTGAGATGCGCTTCTAATAAAGAGTAAATACAGTGTTGGTTTTCTATTCTACAAATTAACAACATGTATCATAATGACATCACAGCATTAGGCTGATACTGGTAACCCAGCATAATGGCACAAACAGTTTATTTTGATTTGTCTGCTTTATCTCTTTCTTTGACTTTTGACTTCAGCATGCCGCTGAAATCTCTGCAACAAATGAAATATATTTCTATTCATCTTTACTGTTAGATAAGTGAGGAAGTGGCAAGACTCTTACAACTGAAAGCTCAACTTGGAGATGGTGCTCAGAAATTCATTCTCAAATGTCCTAAGGTGAGTCATGTTATACTGCCTGCATTCATGGGATTCTTTAAAACTTAACCTTTTCACACCAGACTATCTTGCCTAAATTTTTCTGCACTTTTTTCTTGTATTCTTTAATATTTCTGGAATTAAACCCTAAATTTGGAGCCAACAGACAAAATTTAAGTCAATTTTCAGTTTTTACTAAAAAAAAATTGGTTATTTTTATCCCAATCATTTGAAGAAAAGTGCAGACTATAAACATGACTATAGTCTTACACCAAATGTCATTATAGTGATGTTAGCCATTCCAGATTCCCAAAAATAATGAAAGCAAGCAGGTTGAGTCCCACACAAATGTTACTCTATATCTTATCATTTACATTGTGTGCAATGTGTTACAAAATGACTGCAGTCATGCTATCATTTAGAGTATTATAATAACATTTTACTGTTTTTTTTGTTGACTTATTAGGGCACCAGGGATTTTGATCCTAAACAAATGTCAGTTCGGGAAGGAGTTTTCAAAACCATAATTGATAGTTTTAAGCGTCATGGTGCAGAGACGATTGATACGCCGGTATTTGAACTAAAAGTAAGTCCTGATCTACCGGTATAATATTGTCTTTTATGTTAATAACATACTGATAACAAATTGTTTCTTAAAAAATTATATTCATATTGGCAGTGTTTTTTTTTCAATATTTTTGTATTCATTTGGCATATAAAATGGTGCTCAAATCTTATTGTATCATCACCCAATCATAATGCCTTATACAAATTTGTCTAGAATTGAATTTTCTTACTAGTTTGTCCTAATTAAAGGTGCTCTCTGATTGGGTAAGAATACCAAGAGTATATACTTTAATTATACTAGCTTAATGCGTATATTCTATCAAAATTATTATAATACCTTTAAAGAGTATTCAACTGAATTCAAGTTTCTATTGAGGATATGTGCAATGCATTATGGGAGATAACTATGTTTCCTTGTAATACTGAAGTTTATTTTATTTGTCTCTGCAGGAGACGTTAACTGGTAAATATGGAGAAGACAGTAAGTTGATCTACGACTTAGCGGATCAAGGTGGTGAACTACTCTCACTCAGATATGATCTCACTGTATCCTTTTATCATATGAAATGATTTTACACTGATACTAGGTGCCAAATTCAAACATTACCTTGACTTGAACACCAACAAATGGGCTAACACCATAGAAGTTTGAGTCACTGATTCAAATGGTACTGACCGAGAATTGCTCATTATACTGTGGAATACTTTATTTTCGCTGGATTTAATTTTCGCTGGAAAGGCTTTTTGGGCGTTTTGTATGAAATTTATTTTCACTGATTTTTGATGAGTTTAATGTGAAATATAGGAAAAAAAGTATATTTGCTGGATTTTATTTTCACGGAATCATCCCTTTAGCGAAAATAAATTCCAAGCGAAAATAAAGTATTCTACAGTATATGAATGCAACTTTGGAAAAATATATTTTATAATATATTTTGATCACCCAGACCTAGTTAATAATAAAAATAACTTTATTACACAACCAAAACCATCAGAAGGTTTAGTATGGTAAATAACAAATAAAAAAAAAAACTAATAAAACTAACTAAATAAAAGTTAAATGCAGGATAGCACAATACCATTATGATAGGAAGATTTTCAGGCAGCCATGTCTAATTTGTGGACTATATAGTTAACACTTGCTCTTCCAATTTGCACAAAAACAAAATTCAGTTCATTGGCAAAGTGAACTAGGAGTGCCACTACTCAAGTCAATATTCTGGCTTGTCAGTCTTTCTCTAATCATCAGTACTTGATATATTGTCCTTGACAATTGGCTGCCAGGTTCCATTTGCTAGATATCTTGCTATGAAAAAGATTAGTAATATTAAAAGATACCACATTGCTAAAGTCTACAGAAGAGACAACCCTGCAATGACCAGAGGAAGATTCCGAGAGTTTTACCAATGCGTAAGTATTTAAATTATCTTCGTGTAGTTCCACTTTCTTGTTATATTGTTGTTCTTGGTTTTGAAAATCAAACAGGACAGACTGTATCAAACATGTTGGCAAAATGAGTCCCAATGAATATTGGAATCATGTTTAGTCGAGATTAAATTTTTTTTGTGCAAAATATATATGTTGTAAAATGTCATTATCATGATTTTTTTCTAGGATTTTGACATCGCTGGCGCCTATGATCCCATGATCCCGGATGTGGAAGTGCTGAAAATAGTCTCGGAAATATTGAGTAATCTCCAAATTGGGGATTTTGAAATCAAAGTAAGTATCAGTTGATTTTTTTTTTTTAAATAAATAGAAATACATATACTCTAGACAACATTTGTATTATTACGTTGAAGTGAAATAATTTTTGTGGCAGTACGACTTACAAATTTACAAACAAAATAATATCTGCTAACGATTATTATTAGAATGATACTTACTGGTAAAACTTATACTGAACATTTTGTTAAAATACATCTTCAAATTCTGAATGCATCGTATAAAACAATTTTTTGTGATGTACGGTGTGTTGACATTTTCAGCAATTGATTTGTTTTCAATGATATTTGATTGACAGGTGAATCACAGAAGGTTTTTAGATGGAATGATGGCTTGTTGTGGTGTTCCAGAAGATAAATTCAGAGCTATTTGTTCATCCATAGATAAACTGGATAAGGTGAGTGTCAAGTATAAAATAGTAGTATTTGAAGAGATGTTGTCTTACTGTTACTGTTAAATAACTAAAATATATAAAAAAAGTTCTTAGAAGAAGTATAGAAAATTAGTGAAAAAAAAACAGATATAAATTTATGAGATTTAAAACATTCCACAACTTTAGTTTTTGAATTTTGTGTACACATGCCTTCTACTTCATTTCAGTCAAGGTATGACACTGTATTGGCATGACAACCTTGATTTCAATTCGACTTGAACACAGTTCTAGAAAGATTCCCCACTGTCATTGAGTGATTTCATTACAACATCAGAAAAAGGAATGGAAAGGAAAGGAATTTTGTTGTCTGACAACTATCACTAAGCAACACTTCCAAGCAACTTTCCCTTACTATATCTCTAAGCCATTGTCTGGTAGCATAAAAACTGCATATTTACAGTATGTACTTTTTGTTTGCAGACATTTTGGGCAGATGTGAGAGCAGAGATGGTTGATGAGAAAGGGCTGGATCCTGCAGCAGCTGATAAAATAGAGAAATATGTCAAACTTAGAGGTATGCTTGACACTACATAGTAAAGTATACAACTTAATTGCTGCAGTCATGTGATGTTACAAATTCAAAACTGGATGCCATATTTTAATTTCTAATAAAAGTAATACATTTCTTTTATATAGGAAGAACTGAGCTGGTTGAAGAACTTCAGAAAGATGAAAATCTTTTGAAAAATACAGATGCAGTGGAAGCTCTGGAAGAAATGAAAGTGTTGTTCAAATACTGTGACATTATGAACATCACAGACAAGGTGAAAAATTGTATTCATTTTTGTCTCTTGTGAAAATTTATTTATTTACTTAAAAATTATACATTAAGATGTGAAATTTTGCAACATTGAAGAATAATGTACCGGTACAGTAGAGTAAAGTGGAGGTCTGATTTTTATTATGACAAAAGCCTACTGTCGCAAAATCATAATTTTTCAA